TCCCTTCACCCCCTCCACCCTTCCCTATTTACAAAGACTTTGTTCCCATTTTTTCCTTTTCTCATAATTTTTGCTTTCCCTTCTTTCCTTTCCCCTTCCCCTCCCATCACCCCTACTCCTTTGGACCTTTGCTTCCTATATCAATTATTCATTTTAATCCTTATTTACACTTTCAGTTTCTCACACCAGAGAAACTATTTGGTATTTACACATGTGTGCTGTTTTTCTGATGTTAAAGATGCACATTTTCTACTTGGAAAGACCCCAAGTTAAAGCCAGAGAACATTCTGATAGTGGTAAGCATAGAACCTAGCAGTGATGGCGAACCTTTTAGAGCTTTCAGTGATAACCAATAGCCTGCCGTGGCACTCGTAGGTTCACCACCACTGTATCGAATGCATTGGCACTATGCTTCTGCTTTAACAGACTTTGACCATTTGCCCCTGTGAAATGTGTGCGTGTCTGGCAAAGGAATCTCTTTTCCCCTTGATTTCTATTAATGTCGTTTCCAGTTTCCAATAGCAGTTAACAGTGTCATGTCTTGATACAAAAGCAGGCTAAAGCCATGCCTACCAGGCCAAATAATGTTCTCACTCAATAATGTTTATGCTTTCAAATATTTGCAGATTGATATCTTGCTCTATTCTTGTCCTCTTTGCCAAAGAATACAAGGTCAGATCCCTGGATTTTGCTGTGTTTCTTCCTAAGTTACCCTTTGTGCCTGTTCCTATATTTTATGAAAGAACTGGAAAAATTTATCTTTGCTTTGAAAGTTCATGAAATTTGGCATCACGTGTACCTTGCCTACTAACCTCATGCTACGAACCTGTGAGGAGTTAAAGGAAATGTATGAACCTGAGCCACCTTGCTGTTTGTGTCTGGCACGCTGTAAACACTAAGGAATGTGAGCCCCACCCCATCTTCTTTATATTTTCATAAGTCCATGGAAAGAATTTATAAACAGATAGTGAGCTACATCACAGAGACACAAATGTACAAGTAGCAAAGTCAGCTTGGGTGTGTACTTAGGGCAGTAATAATGAAGCTGACCCTGTAGGTAAGAGCGTATTACGATCCCAACAATGTCTTAATACAGTGGTTCTTTAGTTTCAAGATCTTGTTTAATAAATTTCAAATTCATAATTTCATCCTAAGGTTCATGTTAACAATTAAATTTCAAAAGTAATGTCCTCTAAACAGTTTTGCTTTAAAAAGCATCATCATAGTGATGTTGACTTCTTAACATCACTCCAAACAGAAAACGTGGCTAGGATGTGGCAGGACTTGATCCTTGCCAGTCAGAGCAAGAAGCCCGGGGCTCCAGCTCCTGGCCCCTCTGGACAGAGGCTCCACTGCTGGGAGCAGGGGAGACCTCTCAGGTGCTGGCCCGTTCTTTCCACCTGAGAGCCTGGGCCAGGAGTGATTCCCTGAGCCAGAGGTGCAAGGAAAGATCTTGAAACGCAATCAACTTTCACGGCAGAGCAGCCCCGCTCTGTCCTGGGAAGTTGTGCTGTCAGCAGTGAGTCCAACACGGGTCCCATAGGAGTCCAGCCCTGCCAGAATTCAGAAGGTCTGCACTCAGAAAGGTCTGAGAATTCCTCCTTAGCCTGAGGCCCTCTCTTACCACATCTCAGGCACTTTGGACACCTTAAAAACCTCAAGAACCCTGCAGTAGAGGCTTTCTTTAACTTTGAATCCAGGTCGGAAACCTATTTGGGATTTAGAACCGTCCCCCACCTCTTCCCACCGCCTACAGCTGTTATTTATTCCTTTGACTAATTTTCACAGGACTCCACTGGGGACACACTGGTCAGCCATGATGGCTGGGGGATGGCAATGTGTCATGTGATCAGGGGAACATGTGTGACGTTCACTGTGCTCTGCTTGGCTGAAAGCTGTGCCTTCAGGGCCTGAGCCAAGCCTGCAGGTGACTGGTCAGCCTTCGGATTTCAAGGTGGCCACTTACAGTCAGCACCAGAGAATATGACTTCTTATTTTATTGTTTTTTTAATTCACTCTATTCCTAAAAAAGTAGAAGTGAATTTACAAAGACACCTTATACACACACTCAAAAAAACAACATGAGTGAACAGTGGATAGAAACAAAATGAGAGTAAGTTTCAAAGAGGTCATTTGATTAAGTCATCTACTTACAGAAGCTTCATCTATTTTTACAAGCCACAGGTAAACATACCCAGATCCATCATAGCCAAATCTTGTTTGTGATTTCAAAATGAAATGTACGTTTGACATGTGCTTCATATTCCAGTCTGAAGGTCAACCGGACACTCACTGAGCCTACTTTTATATACATCATATTTTAAAATTCTTTCAAAAGACAATGTCTATTCTCCTCTATCCATCTTTTTTATTTCCGTTTTCTCTTGGTACCTCTCTGCAGGTATGATTTAATTGTCTGTAACTAGGGGAGGCGATGAACTCTCCCCAGTGGCTTAGACGCAGGAGTGCCTCTGGCAAGACCTTCCAAGGCTAGACTGGGAGCCCTCTGTGAATTCCCTCTTGGGATTCCCTGCCTGGAGGGAGGCAGCTTGTCCCTCTTGGCTTACCTTCACAGTCGTCTGTTCACTGGTCTCTTCCCCTGCCCAGCTGCAGAATATGGGCAGCAGAGATCTCACCAAATTCTCCCTTTGACTCCCAATGCTGAGCCCAAAGAATCCCTCAGACAATGTTTATCAAAGCCACCTGCATGGACATGAATTTCTGCTATGATTACATCTTCCCTCGCACTGAAATCCCACATCTACTCCATCCTGCAAACATAGCACAGACCATTTTTAACTGAAGGTCTCTGAAAATAGGCATATATGACAACCAGCAACTGGTGTGTTTTCCTCCATGGTGGACATCACAAAGAAATAGGTTGACTGCTGGGAGCTTGGGTGGGGATTTTGAGAAGGGAGTCATCTTTTCCTGTTGAGAAGAAAGAAGCACTGTGTGGCTATGATAAAGCAGTTGTGTTAAACTCATAGAAGAAAGTAGGAAACATGCAGAGAATGTTGGCAAGAATAAACCGAAGAGACCTGAAACAAAGCAGAAAAGTAAAACAGAGCTGGCAGGATTCAGCATGGAAGCATGTGCTGAAAGCTTGAACCTGAGGAAGAAACCAGGGAAAAAGGAAAAGGAAGAATTTCCTGTGATTCTGGAATGTAAGGGGGGATTTGATCCATGGCCAGCAAATCCAGGAGACAGAAAAATTAGTATCATCTTGGTTTCCTTCCAAGTGCCATTTTTAGACATGGGTGGTGTTAGTGTACCTGGGGCACCAATGCATTTAACTCTGGGTGTGTTTTAAATTTTGAAATGAAGGGAATTTTCTAGATTTGCCCATTTTAAAGATGAGCTGTTTATAGGACTGAAGCATATATGAGCCTCTTTCCTGAGATTTTATTCAAATGCATTTTATTCTGATTGGGAGCAGCACCTGCCAGTCCCTGGCCCTGCAGAGTCTCCGGCTACATGAGGCTATGCATATTTAAACATAAGTTTTATAATTGTGGATGTTAACTTGTCTCGTTCAGTATCCTGGGAATGTCCCTTAAACTATGTTTTCTGTACAGCACTTTGTTTAATTTTTAATATTTGAAGAAATGGTTTGACTTGCTAGCTGACAGTTGGTAGAAATACTGTGCATATTTCATGGGTTTTTAAATCAACTTCCTTTTTGCATACTTAGTTTTGAACCTTGGGTCATCTCCAGCAAGCACACCCTTGCCCAGGGCTAGCTCTCCATGACCCTGGGCAGTCTTAGATCTACTCAAATGATAAGTGTGGAGGACACTAATACCCTGATCCCAGGGAGGTTCCAGGAGACTGTTGGGAAGAGATGTGAAAAGGAATGGAATTGGAGAAATAGAGCAAAAACTTAAAAGCCTGAGAACAACCCCAGTGCCCTAGAGGATGTGGTGAAAATTGCACCCCCCCGACAAAGGACTGGAGAAGCCAAAAAGGGACAGACCAGACCCTTTGGGATGGTTGGCAAAGGCACTGGGGCATTTGAGATGAGCTTGGGGAGTGAAAAGGACTACTACCAGGATGGGGAGGAGCTGCCACCAGGGCCCAGCAAGCCAGCAGGAGAGCTCGGGGAAGCTGCAGGCCATGTGCCCAGGGGCTGAGTTTGCACCAGAAAGCCTATCTATCAGCAGGACACAGGGCTGACAGTGCTGAGTCCTGGCCCAGGGCCAGACCAGAGGCACTTGTACGGACCTTCCAGTCCTTGCGTGGGTGGGCTTTCTCTTGACCTCTTTGGAGATGATGCAAAGAAGGTGCAGAGAGTAACTTGCTTGCAGTTACAGGCTTTAGGAGACATGAGGTTGGTCTTGAAAGAGGTCATTGGTCTCCAAAAGCCACACCCTTAGTGCTTGGCCGGGCAGGTGAGACTCAAGGGGAGCCTGGTTGGAAAGGACACCTTGTCATTCAGTTTGGCAGGCAAGGAAGAGTCACAGAAGACCTGATTTGGGGGCCCTAAAGTACACTTTAGAAAGACAGTCTGGTGGTGATACTAAGTAATGAGTCAAGATGGAACTTTGGGAGGCCTGGTAAAAGGAATGAAAACCTGGGTCAAGGCAGTGGCCTTAGAAAGGGATGGAGGACAAGAGGCATTCAGCAGGGGGCAATCTTCGGGTTTGTTGTAGGTTGGATGCTGAAGGGAATGAGTTTAAAGACAGAGAGGTGGACAACAATGATGCCCTTGTTGGGAACCAAAAATCACAAGAAACTGGACTTAGGATAAGA